ATAGGGCTACTGTGTATCATTAAACAGAGTGTGGAAAATCCAAAATCCAGAGAGAAAAAAACACACTAACAGCTTAAAAATTGAGCTTGAGCCTTTTAAGCTGCCAAACAAAACATGTCACCTTACACTTGCCGTAACTCGTGTGAATAATTCCAAAATTAGATGTTTGAACTTGACATCAGCGAAACCTACAATCACAAAATTATGTAAAGCACCAAATTGAAGCCACTTTTTGAAGCCTAAGCTGAAATAATTACACCCTTTTCTTTACAAAAGTGGATGCACTGTGTTTTAAAATTATAAAAAAAAATGCAGGCCATGAACACACAGCATGCACAGCGACTGTCAGGCTTTCCTGTGTGTGAGGCCCCCGTGTTTGTTTGGCCAGCATGTCCCGGCTCGTGCAAACCTGTTGTCTATTCTCTCTGCTTTGTATGGGTCACTGGAGCCACTGTACACACACACTTCCAGGAAGAGAGGCCTGCCGTAACATCGAGAGACGATCACAGCAGCACTGACCTGAAACCGCCATTCGACAACACACCAGAGAAATGCTGACGTCACTCGCCGGACCTTTTTCCAGAGTCTGCGTGTCCGGACTTGGCTCAGGAGTAATCAGGAATGTGATCAGGTCAACCTTTGCACTGACCTGATCGCTAACAGTAACCACATAATGAGAGGAAAACCAGGGAAAAGGTATTTCCTGTGAGAGACGCTGGCATTTAGTGGTCTTTTGGTTATGGCATTTCCCTCGTAAATGGATTCTGTTGTGATTTATGGTACCTATGGGAGAGGCTTGATCCAGCTTTGACACTCATGTTAGCAGCCTTATCTTACTGCAACTGACTGGTACTGCTAAATTAACCTAAAACCTCTTGAAAGACACAAAGGGCTTTGCCAAAAATAAAGAATAAAACCACAACACTGACAGCCACAAAAACCACCACACTAAAACTTTCCTTTACACTTCTGGTAACCTTTAATGGTTATTACTTTGTTTTCTGTGGTGGTTTTAATGATTGTTTTACTTACTATCCGTGCTCTGTTGCCACTTGATGTATTTTGGTTTTCATGTATTATATTTGTGTAGTTTATTTCAGTCAATGAGCCTGTGCTGCCTATGTTTTATGGTTTTACGTAGCTGCGAAACAAAAGGTCTCCACAGGGACGATAAAGTGAAGTCGAAGGGGGGAAATAATCAGTCAATTAAATTGCCAATATGTCTGCATCTAATTTTCCATTTGCTGATTGCTCTTCTGGTTTTTTAGTGACAAATCTAGTCAATGTTTGGTCATTTATATGTCAGAAAATGGTGAAAAATGTCTTCCAGTGATTCTCAAAGCTAAAGATGATGACTTCAAATGTTTTGTTTTGTTTTATCCACAGCCCAAAATGTTCAGTTTGATGCCATAGAGGAAGAGTAGAAGTGATCATTCCTAGTAGTTCTAACTATTTCTTTTAGAGTGATTAATTGTATAATGTATTGTATAATCCCCTCTTTTCTGATGTTAAGTAACGTAAGCAGCAGACATTAGCAGCACATGACACCGCAGCATCTCCACTAAATGACCGAGAGACAGACAGCGTGTCCCAGAAAAACAGAGACAGCTACACCACATCACCTCTTCTCAAATGTTCCCTGAGACAAACAGCTTGGCCTCAACTTGTGTAATTGTGTCGTCTCTTCTGCTGCTACTGCCAGCAGCATAATTCAGTATGATGAAGAGATCGTAACACAACAGAGGAAAATCACAGGGTCATATATTCTAACAAAATGAGCGTGGACTTATTAACGCGATTTCAATCTGCATAAAATAAACGTCTAGTTGTTCTTCCTGTAATTATGACAGACTGAGTCAACTGCCCACAACCAAATGGTCTTCCTCAAGGGCAATTTGGTCTCGAGTAAAAGTCAAACACTCACTTTGTTGTGACCACATCAATGTCAGGTAGAGCCGCACACTGACAGACATATGGGGGAACGCGTTCAGACAGGCTTGCACGGCGCGCACACACACATTTACGCTCACAAACACATAAATACACTCGCAGCCATAAACAGCAGCACAGACCTCACCAGACTTAACACCAGCTAATTGCTCATGTATGGCTCCTTTCACTCACACACACACACATAAAGCATGCCTGGGCCGTCTACAGCTGTGACGTCTCACATGTGGCTGTGTGTTGATATAAGGAGTAACACAAGTGGAAAATTGGAGCTGGTGGGGCCAGACTGCTGACTTCCTGATAGGAAGAGAGTGGAGGTTGACCCATATATACATAAAGTCGTCAACTGGCTCCAACACAGAGGGAAATACAAAGAGGGCAGACAAAGGGTCAGTGTTGCTCCATGCATAATGCGATGTGGATGCAGATCAGGGTTACTCAATGTGATGATAATAGCACAGCTCTTATGGGTGGCAAAGGGAGTTTCTATACATTGATCAGATTGTGTTTTTTTAATCAGATAATGTTTGATATTGCTGCCAGTTATGTAGTAAATCTTTTTTTTAAAAACAGGTAATTTTAGTTAATTAACCTGTGCCTAAATTGTCTGTAACACATTTTAAGAATAAAACTGTTTGAAAAAATGCTGACAAAGGATGTTTTAGTTAAAAATCAGTGTGTCGAGAGAGGCTGGGAGCTGAGCTGCTGCGAATATAAGATCGGATTTTTGAGCTCATCTTGTTTTGAGTTAGTCTCTTTACGGTCTCCTCCTCTCCACAACAAGTGACCCACTAATTTCAGGATGCTCTTCAATAGGCAGAGTGTACAGTGAGGGGGCTGCTAGCTGAGCTGCCACCGATGACCATTTAATTATAGTGAAGTAATTAGTTTCGTAAACAACTTCCTCTTCTTTGGACTATGGTGAAAGTTAAATTTCATTATGACCTTCATTTTTAAATGAATACATCCTCTTTCTTCACCAGCAGCTCAAACAAGGTTTACTAGTGTGGAGTGGATGTCTGGGCCAACTTCTACTTTCCTTTAAAGCTAAATTCACAGACTGACTTAAGTCTCTATTTATCATGATTATCAAGAATAAGATTGTTCTATATAATCTATGGAGGTCTTTTAATTACTAAGCCCTCATGGGTAAACCTCTCTCTCTCTCTCTCTCTATATTATATAAAAAAACTTTCAACTTGTCCCACATACTGACCAGCGTAAAAGCTTCATTTAGATGAGTGACTCACTGGAGTTAGTACGATTCACTCTGTGAAGGCTGAAAAATAGGAACTACTGAAACCTACAAAATTGGCTGTCTTTAAAAAGCCGAGCAGACACACCAATAAAAGTTTGGACTTCTTTACGCAGCTTTTTAAGTCTTCCCCTGCTGCGCTGCTAAAACAAGGATGTCTACTTTTAAAGCTGAAAGGAAGTGTGTAGCATAACCTTGCTAATCTGAGCCCGTGGATAATGGAAGTCATTAGGAGAGAATACAAAGTTCAGACGTCTGAAATAGACCTCAATGACACGTTAGGCAGAGTGGTGCTTATTTAGAGTTTCCTCATGTGGGCTAACATTTGTTTTTGTCCATTTGCATGACACAAATGTAATAAAACTGTTTCCTGTGATTCTGAACTTAAACAGAATCACAGAATTAAACTTTAATTCATGTATGATGACCTAAATAGTCCTGATCTATACAAACAGTTGTTTGATGGACGACACACTGAGTTGTTTGTTTCAGCGTCGGGCTGCTCGAGTTTTTCTCATTATTGTTTTGCGATATGAAAAAGTCTTCTGAGGCAGTGCAGAGACTTGAAACTCATATCTCTAATTATAATGTTGTGTTGTGGTGCGGCTTTCCCCTCTTAAACTTCCATTATGTGCACTGGATCTTTGTCTGCCCAAGATTACCAAGCGAGACGTCTGACTAAACTGAATTTGAGAGCACCTTGAACGCACAATGGAGGAGAAATTACAGAAGGAAAATCATACTCATTTCAAAGACCATAAATGTGTTTGGAAAAATGAGAGGAATTTGAGATAGTTGCGCCACAGAAGTCTGAAATCTGTTTAAATTCCTGAAGCGTCTTCGGTTAAGCTGTTAATTATACCGCCGGTGTCAAAGGTGAAACGGTTCTCCTCGCTCGGAGTCGTTCAGGAAGCAAATGAAATGCTGAATGTAGAGTCCGACACAGAACTTTATCTGTCATGTTATCTCGGTTAACCTTCTCTACAACCTCAAAACGTATCAATTGGCAATGGCAGCTGGTTCCAGTTTGTATCTTCAGCTGCAGGCAGCGGTGTAATGATAGGTGGAAAAGTGATCTCCGGCTTGAAACAATGAAAATGCATCATCACCAACACAGTCATAAATCATGAACCTATCTTTTGCCACTCATTAAAAAAACACTGGCAAAACACTGAGCAAACGCATCAGTTAACTACATTTGCGTAACATAACATACCTGTTTAAACTGCGCCTTTGTTCTTTTGGACTCAAAGGGGGGGAAACTTTGTGGGTGCACAGGTACGTAAAGAGGTTGTTACATTTGGTGTTTGCTTTACGCATTTGTTCCACTTAATTTGCGTCTAAGGCCCTCCACTAAATCTGCCGTGCAAAGCTATCGCAGGGGTCAGCGCTCTTTGACCCCTGACCCCTGTCTGCTTTACCACTGAGCCAGGGAAATTACGCGAACCTCCTCTTGCCCTCACTGTAAATCCAACATTTAGAGCAAAACTTAGTGGAAGTAAGTTTTTTTTACACTTTTACACAGAGAGAGGGGGACAGTTGCCACCCTGACTTAGACTCTCTTTATTTGGGTTTTGAGAAACAATAACACGAGGCTCAGGTCGGATCCACGCTCGCCCAGCGCCATAACTTTGTCACACTCCCCCCCCCCCCTGGAGCTGGACCCCGTTTGTTAGCATGCTAACCCAGCTAGCCTCCACAACTCTGCTGCTGCCCGTTGTTGTTTTTCACTTGGAAGAAAAAAAAAACCCCGCAGCGGATACAATGTCGGAAATAAACGAGGCGGTTAACTCACCGGAGTCTCCCGGGGTTTTCATCTTCGTTGCCGTCTTCTCGGCGACTTTCTTCGTCGACTCGTAACTTTCAGACTCTTTTTTTTTAAGTTAGCCGGCCGTTAGTTAGCGAAGTTAGCTCCGCGAAGTTAGCAGTGACACCCCACTCCTTCCTCCGGTGTTGTTCTCCTTCAGGAAAGAGGCTTAAAAGTTATTAAAAAAAATAACTCAACACGAGCTTGCGTGTTTTTTTTTTTTATCTCGACACATCAGGGGCTTGTTGTAAAAAAAAAAAAAAAAAAAGTTTTAAAATGGGAGTATTTGATTGAAACGAAGAGGGGTTCTGATGAGGGGAAAGTTGTCCAGTCGCCTGGGTCTGAATGGCGCAGGCAGGTCGAAGTTTGGAGGAGTCGTGCTGCCGTGTGTCGGTGCTGGAGCAACGGAATGCAAACGACTAAATCTTCATCCCGTTTGTTGCAACGATGTCGCATGGTCGATTCCTCCTCCACATCATCATCGTCCTCTCCACCAGCAGCAGCAGCAGAAGAAGAAGAAGAAGAAGCGGTTCTTGTGTCAGGAACAAGCGAAAAGAAGAAAAAAAAAACCCGAGCCGAACTCTTTCTGTGCTTTTCTCTGCGCCTCTCTTTCTCCGGCACGGACTTTTTCTTTTTCCACTCACTCACTCACTTCGTGCTCTATCTCAACACCCCCCTCCCTTCCTCTGTCGGGGTGTCGTGTTTCGCTCTCCTCCTGCCACACGGGGCCGCCCACGCTGACCCACGGAGGGAGGGAGGGAGGGAGAAGAACTGAACGCCCACTTGTTGCCAAAGATCGTCTATGTTTTCAGGAGCTTGCTTTTACACAAGTTGAGTTGGGAGGAGATTTTTTTCTTTAAAGTTTTGACCGACAAACCAATCAAAATCAGAAATACTTTATTAATCCCCAGTGTTAAAGGAATACAGCTATGTATCAATCACGTACTAGTGAAGAATAAGCTATATATAAAGTTCAGTAGCCTATTAAAAGTAAAAATATTACAAGAGTATCGCACAGTATGTTTAAGTATATTTCACACTGTGTTCATGGACAGATTATTGACCAGGTAGGATTCTGAATAATGCACAGTTTAAGTCAATAATGCACAATGAATAATAAGAGGAAACTAGATATTATACATAGATACATGTATCTCTTATATTATAATAGATATACATATTTTACATGCATATATAGTGCAAAGATTTTTTATTTCACTTTCATACATTTATAAAAATGCATGGTATGTTGGATTAATTAGAAACATTTAGGCTATAAAGTATAAACCCCCAGAGGCATGAGAACTAGTCTGATTAACCTCCTTAAGTTATTCTAACTTTTTTTTTTTTCATTTACATCAAACGAAACAAATTTTCTTTTATAACTATCGTAGCAATTTATGGAAAACCTTGTTTTTTTCTGTAATGTAGTTTTCCTGTTGCAGACATGAAGCTGGCGTTCGTCTTCACACTGAAGTCAAGTTTCCTCAGTTTTGTTTTTTCTTTGGCAGTTTTAAAGTTTTATTTGTAGCCGGGGATAAGGAAACATGACATGAAGTTAACTGAATAAATAGCAAACACTTTTTGCCATACATTTTCTTTTTTGGATGCCTACCATTTCCTGTTCCAGTTTCTGTTTGTAGGCCGTTGTATATATTTCAGTATGTGTGCATAATGGCTACAAATAAAAATGATTTTTTAAATCATGTTAATAATTTAACGACTATTATCTGTATAACTGCATTTGTTTTTGCATTGTTTATTGGTTTTAAAGCTCCAAACCAAAAGATTAACCTTCATATAATACAAAAAAAAGCTACAACTGATCATTCTCTCCAAAAATAAAGTATTGACTGATTTTCAAAAAAAAGAAAAAAAAGATTGTGAATAATCTTCCAATAAATGAATAGAGTTATTGTTACAGCTATTAAAATACAGGTTGTTCAAAACAAATGACAAACAATGATATTGGCAGTAACACAGAATCAGTTCAATCCTGTTTGTTGTTGTGCGTCAACGATGCAAGTTTTTATATTTCATTCTGAGTGACACGTCGTCGTGTACGAAGATCTTTGATGAGGACCAGTCGCTGCTGCCGCTGCCCGGAGCTCCGCCGCTGCCTCATATATTTGTCGCCCCGCTCGCTTTCGGTTGCCGCGTCACGGCGTTGCTGTGGAGACCCGTTACCGCCGCGGGTGATGAGAGGAGCCGTGTTTACCTGTAAACTGCGACAGCGATGCAGCCTGGGAGCCGTCACCCGCCATGTTTTACCCGGGGAAGGACGGCCAATCCACAGGTGTTTTGTCCCACAGGATTGGAAGGTGCACGGCACTGAAATTCACATTCACTATTGCGGCACTATCAGACACACACACACACACACACACACACACACACACACACACACACACAGCTCTTTTCTCCCACACTCCTCCTCTTCCTCTTTAATGAAGGGCCCTTCAGCTCTTACATCAGCTCCGAGGAGGCAGCAAGGAAAGAAAGAAAAGGAGCAATAATAACTGAAGAGCCTGAGCTGGAGGAAAATGAAGTGGAAGCTCAAGTGTGTGGACTGAAGGTAGCCCCCCCCCCCCCTTTCTCCCTTTTCTCCATCTAATCAGTCATCCCACCTTTTTCCTTCCCTCCTTCCATCTCCTCTTCGTCCCTCCTCTTCTCTCCTCGTTTGAGTGGCAGTGTGTGGGAAGTGAAGGCCAGCGGGTGGGTGAAGTATTACATACGACTGTCACACTGTCACAACCGCACGCACATCAACACAACATAAAACATCTCATCATCCACCACGGCTTTCTGCTGTCCCACACTCGTTCTCCTCCTCCTCCTCTGTGGGCACCTCTCCTCCACCAGATTCAGTCTCCTCCTCCTGACATGTCCCCGTACATCACACTCCTACTCCGCTCCTCTGTGTGGGTCCTTCATCCTCCTCACATTTGTAACTTCATCTCCCACTATCTTTTTTCGCCTCCTCACCTACCTATCTCACCTCGTCTCTTCTGGCGTCCCTCTCTTCCTACAAACATGTCCGCAAGTGCAACTTTCCCTCCTTGATTGATTAGGCCTGCAAGTTATTATCTTTTACATTAAATACATCGTTCACATGTTGTGAGATATGACTCTTTTGAGCTTTCTTGGGTACTTTTTTTTAAGCCTTCCTGCAGCGACCAATTGGGTGTATCTTAGCTTGAAGACTGGGAGAAGATGGAAACATTCAAAGGGTCAGTTAGTTGTATAATCTGTCGATGCACTTCTCGAGGTCTAACTACAGGTCATATCTTCCCAGTGAGCTCTAAGCAGGATGTCAACGTTGAAATATGGTCGAGTGATGGAGTCAGACCTTTTTTTCAAACATTTTCAACCGGGTAAAATACGGTTATCACATCAAGACTTTGCCAGACACAGTTTTGATGTTTGTTCAATTGTAGGAATGAAAGGGTGACAAAAAAGTAACAATAATTTTTTGCATTGTTGGGTTGTATCTATCTACCCAGGTTTGTACTTTCTACAAATTCTGTTTCCTGCAACAATCATAAATAAGACTATGTGAACAACAAGGTTCTTAAAGGCCCTGACACACCAAGCAGACGGCAAAGAACTAGTGGCGACGAAGGCCGACTGCACTTGAATCGCGATCGCGTACTGGCCGACGATCTCCTTGGTGTGTCAGGGCCTTAAAGGGAGTACTATGAGAAGAATCAGAAAAGGTTTTCCAGATGACGGTCTAGTACCGACAGCGTGCAGGAGTTTACTTTAAAGCTTTGATGTGCACTTTGCTCTCGACTCGCCCGTCATGTAATGGAAGGTAAAAGGTTTTTTTTTTCTATTAAGAAGAAGAAAGTAGGACATGGGCAGGTAGTTAGGCGGTGCAGCTCTGCCGATGACGATAGAAAGAAACCTGAGTGCTGACGGAAATGATTGATCCCTGATGGCAAATAATCCAGGGGACAAAGTGTTGAATTTGCATTCGGGCATTGTGGGATTGAATGCCAGCTCAGTCGATTGTGTAATTAGTATGTTGGTGACGGTGATGCACTGAACAGAAATACAACCATTTCATCCGAAACACATATGAGGTACGATTTGAAAATCACCATTTGGTGTCCTAGTCCAGCGATAACTGTTGCTAGGTTACAAAACGTAACTTCTGCTTGCCTCTGTGTGTCAAACATGAACTTTTACTCAAGGGTAATGTCACAAAGAACACATGAAAACAATAGGAAGGAGTCTTGGCATTAGCAGCGGCGAGCCTCCAAAAGACGAGTCAGGATAGTTTCTCCTCCGTCAGTGATGTTGACAAAGCCGATATCAGAAGCCCCGCCTCTTCTTTGTTGTGATTGGTCAGACATGATAGCTGTATCAATCTTATCTACCAACTAATTCAAGAAAGCGAGTAGAACCATGAAAACCGTCCTGATGAACTGAACCAACAAGGTCTGAATTTATACCACAAGAACACTGAAATACTTCAGCAGCATTTCTTACTCTCTCTCTCTCTCTCTCTCCTGGAACAAACTACGTCACTGAGCACCGTCATGGCCGTCATCTGGGCACATTTCACCTCCTTCATGTTCTTCTTTTGGACTGAGGGGGGAACGTATTAGAAGAGGTGAAAACTACATGTATGACCATGTTGAAAGCTGCAGCTGTTCAAAACGCAGAGTAGAGCCGTTTCTGTTCGAATGAGCACGCGGGGCTCCAACAGGTTGTGATGAGTGTTGAACGTACGTCATTACTCCACTGCTGGACGTGTGATGTCTGTCCAGTATGCATGTTCTGAGTGAAAAACAAAACGATCTTTTAAAGTGTGTGTTATGATACCTCTAACGGTCGCTTTCATTGTTTTATGATGAGCAATTCAGGGTGTGAAAATGCTGAACAAATATCACAAAGTTTACGGTAACATCTCGAGTTGTCTGAACACAAAGACGTTCATTTGACAGCAAAGAAGAGAAGAAAACATTCTTCTTTTTAAAGGTTGAATCTTTGCCCAAAAACATAAACACAAGCTCATTAATTAATCAGTTTATTCAAAGACATTCTGACCCCTCCACAGCAGGAGATGCGCGAGTGTTTTGAAGTGAATGAATAATGGCTGAGTTCCATTTAGCTTCTCAGCGTCTTGTGTTGTTCATAATGAATCATGTTTTTATTTCTGTTGAAGCTTCCTCTCACTGTTGGGCAGCTCAGCGCCATCGTCGGTGTTTTTTACGTTCTTTTCTTTCTCTGAGCCAATCAGAATGCCTTCCTGTGTTCTGTTTGTCACTTTCCCTCGCTCTGCTCTGCTGCTGACCTTTTGCTCCACCTGAGGACACGCTGAGACTTAACCCCGTGTGACGTGTGAACGCTCCGCCCTGCATGACGTCGTCAGAAAGGAGGAGGTGTTTAAGGGCTTAACAAACAGAGGAGAGTCGTTCTTCCTCAAACTGTGTGATGCATATGATTTAAAAAAAAAACATCCTCTCACCAAACCTTTTAAAAAAATGTGGAAGGTCTTCAGAGAGCTCATTCCTCAATTCAATGTTTATGTTGTTCTGGCAATTTATAAATAATTATTGGTATCTAAAGATATATATTTTCAGATTCAGGATTAGGCCCTGTCTACACCTAGCTTTTGTTCCGGGCAGAAAAGCGCTGGTTGTGCGCTCAAAAGCGTTTGTATAAAGCGTTTGAGAAGAAAAGCGCCGCACGTCCGCCCTGTCTCTATGACAACA